TTCATGTATATATGTATATATATATACACACACACACACACACACACACACACACACACACATATATTTATTTATTTATTTTTACCCCTATGTCTGACCCTCTGCCCTTTCCCACTCACTTCTCACACTATCTCTGGTGTCTACAGTTGTCTTTCATTCCTTTTCCCCCCACATTTTATTGATCACACAATTTCTTAAATAATCTAGCTGCTTTCAATAGCAAGTTCAGATGGTAACTTCAAGAAAAGCAGTTTTAACTTTAATAAATCAAAGAAATGCTAAGGAACTTTGCTTAAAACTTAAAGCCAGGAGACAGGTTAGGATTCTGTTAAAATAGTAGGTACATGAACCTATCACCAGCTCAAGACAGGACAAAAACCCTTAAAACTGGACAACAAAGCCTAGAAGAAAATCAGCAATATTTTAGTCAAAAGTCATACAATTCTGTTTCACCAGTTCAGTCTCATGTACTTAATTTATCTTCTGTTGTGGTTTGATCTTCACAATTGAATTCTGGGATATAATATTCAACTCCAGACTTGTCCCTATGATTAAGTTGGCCATTTTCTTAATTTTTGAACTCTTATTTCTGTGTGTCTGCATTTACCTTTCCTGGAATAGCACTCCCTTGAGAACTTTTTGGAGATCTGGTCTGGCACTGGTAAATTTTTTCAGGTTTTGTTTATCTGGGAATGTTTTTGTCTTTTCTTCCCAAATGAAGGATAATCTTGCCAGATACAATATTCTTGATTGAAATTGCTTTTCCCTTAACACGTTGAATATATTTTCCCATTTTTTCCTAGCTCACATTGTTTCCGATGAGAGGTCTGCTGTCAGCCTGATGGGATATCCTTTTCTAACCCTGCCTTCTCAGAGCTGGCCGTCAGTCCATTGTCTGTTCTTCCTCCTGGTACCCAGCCAGTACCTGATTCCTTAGCCACTTCTGCTTGAGCTCTGTCAACTTCAGGGATTTGAAAATTTGGAGTTGTCCCTGGAATTTTTACTCTCCAGGAATTATTGCTCTCAGGGACACCCCTCTCTGCAGCTTCAGTTTTCTACATAATATGCTCTTTCCTTGTATCAAATCAGATATGGAACTGAAATTTATTTCATATTTATTTAGCTTTGTGAATATTTTTTGAAGTTTTTGTTTGTTTTGCTGTAAGGCTTGTGCACTCACCAGAGAGACAGAGACAGAGACACTGAAAGCGAGAAATTGTTCCCCTGGGGGGATGGTCACACCACAGTCCTTTCTCCTCCTTTCTCAAGATTTTGGGCACGCATGCACACACACCCAGAATGAGGTCTAACCTGCTAGATCCAGGACTTGAACTGCAGTCAACTATGTGGAAGTCCAGCAACATAACCATTATGCCATTTGCTGGTCCCAGCTTTGTGAATATTTTTTAAGGAGTTGCCATAGGGCATGTGCACTCTCCAGGGAGAGAGAGAGAGGCTATGAGAGGGAAAGGTAACGTGAGAAATCACTCCCACCCCCAGGGGATAGCCACACCACAATCCCTTCTCCATTCTCCTTCTGGGATTTTGGGTGCACACACACTTGGCATGATTTCTCAGCCACCAGTTCTGGAAGTCAAACTGCGATTGACCATGTGGGAGTCCAGCACTTTAACTACTTACTACACCACCTGCTGGCCCATGCTTCGTGAATTTTGAATAATAAAATTTTTAAACTTTTGATTAAGCTTTTACTATCTTCAGCTTAGCAGTACTTAAAAAATAAAATGAATAACTTATTATTATAAGACTAAATCAGCATGAAAATGGGAATAATTAAAACTTTCATGAATATTTTATTTATTTCTAGTATTTTTGTTAATAAAACTTGAAGTGAACAAGAAATTCTGGAGCATTCTGTACACACACACACTGATAATGCCCTTTGACAAATCAACCCGTTGTTATCAAACCTAAGAACGAATCACTTCTTTCTGTTCGTTAGCCTTCTTTTAATATTTCTTCTTTTTTCTTTTCTTTTTTTGGAGAGGTTTTTGCTATAGGGCGTGTTCGCTCGCCAGACAGAAAGAGACAGAGAGACAGAAAGCGAGAAATCACCCCCCCAGGGGGGATGGCCACGCCGCAGTCCCTTCTCCTCCATTCTCCTCTCGGGATCTTGGGCACGCATGCACACGCACCCAGTGTGAGTTTAAGCCACCAGGTCTGGGACTCGAACTGTAGTCGACTACATGGGAGTCCAGCGACATAGCCATTACGCTAACTGCTGGTCCCATCATTCCACATATTTGGATGTGCTCAATGGTATTTCACAGATCATTTTTTTTCACTCTCTTTTCTGTCTTCATTTAGATTGCATACTACTATCTATGTATCTATCTTTTTATTTCTTCTAAGAGAGAGACAGACATGCATACAGATAAGAATTCATGACAGAATCCTTATGCCACAATCTACCCTGCCCTCAGTCAGCCAGTGTCACGGGCACATGCCCTCCTGGCACACACAGGAAGGTCTCTGTGTGAACCCGGAACCTTCCCACGTGGCCTCAGCATCATGGAGCACTGTATCACTGCCACACACCCATGGCTATTTGTATGTGGCTGATAATCCATCTCCGAGTTAACTGAATCATTTCTTCTCCCATCTGAAATCGGCCGTTACACTTCTCAATGGATTTTTCAGTTACTGTACTTCTGAATTTCAAATTTTCTACTTGTTGTTTTTAAATAATTTCCAGCATTTTGTTGGATTTCTCTATTTGTTGAAACATTATCACACTTTTTTTTCTTTAGACATGATTTCTTTAGTTTATTTATTTATTTATTTTACATATTGTAAGTCTTTATTTACTAAATACAACAGGGAACACTTACAGTTTCTATTGAGTTTAGGTCAAACTTTCTTGTGAGAAATCTCACATGACATTTTCTTTTTCTCCTGCTCAAAGCTACTACCAAAAGATTCACTAGCTACGGTGACCTTCATTCCTGACCAAAGGGGTGAAGTTGTGTTGCAGAGAAACGATGCTGAGGAATGGAAAGTGGCACTCCAGAGAGAAAGGAGAGCTCTTTATTACGCCGGCAAGCACGGAGGAGTTACCACTCTGAATATCTGGCCCCGACTTAGAGTTGGACACAGTCTTTTATGGGTGAATTGGGGAGAGGCAGTTTCAGCACACTTGGAGTGCCCTATCGAGGAAGAGGCTCAATGTCTGCCCTCATACAGAGCTGGCAGAGAAGCAGGGTTTTTTGTTTTTGTTTTTTTGGAGAGGTTTTTTGCTATAGGGCGCGTGCACTTGCCAGACAGAGAGAGACATAGAGACAGAAAGCAAGAAATCACCCCCCGGGGGGATGGTCACGCCGCAAACCCTTCTCCTCTTGGGATCTTGGGCACGCATGCACACACACCCAGCATGAGTTTTAAGCCACCGAGTCCAGGACGTGAACCGCGGTCGACTACATGGGAGTCCAGTGACATAGCCATTACACTAACTGCTGGTTCCCAAGAAGCAGGTTTTCATCATGCTCAAGGCTTCCGGCTGCTCAACAGTTCAGGGAAGGAGCAGCTAACTCATGGGAACAGGAAGCCCAGGCAGCCATCAGCCCTGGGTTGCTTCAAGGTCGCTCACAAGTTCCGGGTTGCTCCACGTCAGTTGGATTAACAACCTTTCATGAGACAGCTGGAATTGCTAATGGTATGTGGATCCTGCATGAAAACCAAACCGTGTGAGTTCCTGAAGAGCGAGTTTAATTTATAGTACAGAAACGAGCTAGCTCGGCCGGATGCCAAGGCTGCGTCCGGTCACGGGACGTCCCGGGCCCTTCCGGGCTCAGCGAGTCCCCCCTGGGGCCCTGCTGCCGCTGCCCGCGCCAGCCCGCACCCCCCCCCCCCGCCCCGGGGCCCCTGGGCACGCACGCGGAGTACCCTGCCATTCTTAGGGAAGCCAGACACCCGAGGATAAGTCACGCTGCAGACCTCCACAACACCACTCCTGCTAACCACAAGATGGCCGCTGTGCCACATCAACTGATGGTCAACTCTGCTTACCAGAACTGCTTTCCTGAAACTGTATTCCATGGAGACTCACCTACAGTTGCGGAACTGCACGAGACCCACACTTGATCCAACCTTGAATGGAATCTATTTTCCCTATTGTTAAAAACTTTGGACTCGTGACCCCTCTCCCTCTACTCGCAGGTATCGCATTTTCAATGACCCCTCTGGAGGATAGCTGTCTATAGCAGAGATAGAGTAATTGGGAGAGGGGGAAAGGGCTGAGGGTCAAACATAGGATAAAAAACATATTTATATGTATGAAAGTAGAAATG